CTCCCCAAAAAGTTCCCTCTTTACATGCGCCATTATTTCAATGTTTATTCTAGAAAGAAATTACATTATGAAATATCGATAATGTATTTGAAATTTTTTATCTTCGATCAATCGTCATAACTGTCAATATAATCATTATCATTGTTGAATCATTACTTGTCGAAACTTCATTTCGCTTACTTCCAGGTAGAGTCCAGGAGGGCAATTGCCCCCCCTCCTCAGTCCCCCTACCCCCAAACGTCTATCAAATTTTACTTATATGGGAGAGCATTTGAGGCCCTTCTCTAAAAAAGAAGGTTGGTCACACCTATGTTCATTTGATCAAGTTTTTTTGTCTGGTCAATTGAATCGTCTGCTCCATATTAACTGATAGCTTTTAGCGCTCATTAAAATCGACTCTTCGACATGTGTCATGTCTATGGCTGCTTGATCCAATTTAAAGTACTTTGATAATACACCCTCAATTCTATGTATTTATATCTCTAACACTAAACTTCATTTTTTACATGCATACATCTTACTTATACTTGAAAATTTTTATTTATTTTTTAAGAAATAAAATGATATTAGTTTTTATGTGATATTAAAGATTTGAGTATTATAAATATAAAAAATGATAATGTTTAAGTTGAGATGTGTAAATAAATGAGAATTTGGTGTAATGTATGTTAATGTCTCTTGTAATTAATATTGTTAAAAAATTAGGCAATAAATTAAGAGGCATTTGCATACATACAACACAATTCTTATGTATTTACACAACTAATAATTAAACTTTCATGTTTATATGCATAGAACCCAAATTTTGAATATCATTTCAAAAATATTATGATTACTTGTTTTCTAAAGTCAAGTATAAAATTTATAAAACTAGAAGTTTTACTATGAAGGCTTAGGAGTTAAACATATAAATACACAAGAATTGTGTGATATGTATGTAAATTTTTCTACAATTAAATTCATAAAGATAATATCAACAAATTATTTACCAAATAATTTGGGGATATATATATATA